ATTATTATTGGTGTGATTAATATTCTCTGTTGAACCTTCTGTGAAACAAGATAGTTATAACATAATTAAAGTATCATTCAATGTAAAAGATAAGCACAATGTCGGAGTGTGTGCAGATTTATACATATGATAGGTAATAATATCCTATGCAGTTATGATACAACTCTAGCCGTTGTTCTTGAGTAATATAGTATTTAATATATTTTTTATGAAGTGCATATATGAAAATTTAATTTTTTATTATATAATAAATATTCAGATATACCTAGAAAATTATGAAAAATAATTCATATGTAATTGAAAATTTCAAAAGTACCGTATTTGTTAGTTCATATTTCATTTCAAAATTTAATGTAAAGTTATGTGCGTTTCTAATTTGAAATTTTAGAACTGACCTGGTAATGTAATATAGTACCCCCTCGTATCTAAGACTTCAAAATGGCGAACTCCTTTATTAACAAGTTTGCGCATCTTGACGCTCATTCTCCCTACTCCGTAACTCTGGGCAAACCGCAAACCTAACCTAACATAATACGAATTGAAAACGGCACACGAGAAATAAATAAATTTGGGCTGTTACGCTCGGTCTGCGCAAGTCACGAACATAAATTTTTTCTAGACTTGTGTTATAAACATGCTACCACAACTTTTTTTTCTGTTTATGTCTGGTTGTACATATAACAAAGGCAAATGAACTAACGCTTGCTATAATGATGGGGCGTGAGAGCAAAATTTAAGTAATGCCGAATTTAAGTTCCATAAGATAAACAAAAGCAAAGGGGTTGTTCGTCTGTTACGTTTCCTAGATCGAAAGGGAATGTTTCGAGTAATGTTTCAAACTCTCTTCAATTGGAATGTTTCGGCTATGTTTCACTAAGTAACTTTTCAAGTGCTACATTTCTGTAATGAAACAGCAACGTTTCTAGTTATTGTTTCAAATGTGTAGTAAAACAGGTCATTTGCAACGTTTCATTTACGTTTCGTGTTTAGTGGGTGTGTAAATCGTTTGAATTTTAAAATTTTAATAGAACATTTATGAAGCCGGTTCTGCATTCATCAAAACAGTTGCACGACTTCCTTCGACGGCAAGGCAAGGCAATAAAAATTAAAAATAATACTCCACTCCAGTTCCAGTACCCTCACCGAGAATAGAGAACTGCGCCAGTGTACCAACTACCAATGCGTACGCGCGTGATTCCAGGCTCATTCTCCGTTTTATCATTACACTCCTAGCGATCGATACGCCATATACGCCAGTCGCCAGTTCCAACTAGTTGACATCCACTTCCGAAATAAAAGCCACGCATCGTCGTCGGTAAATATTTTCATTGGATATTCACAGATATGTGTATCGGTGAGTACATATCAGTTTGAAACTATTCCTTTCAAAGAATTTATGGGTATGATGACAACATTAAGAAATACCTACATAGATTACCTTTTGTAGAGATAGGTATTTAAATTTTCCATTACCACGCTTAGTTTACTGACGGTACCAGCCAGTGTCGACCCCCTGTCGACATATTATGCCTGCATTACGAGAAATTCTTAAAAATCTTTAGGAAAGAATGAATCACTATTTTACGATGAAATGAGAGATAAGGATTTATTGCAGTAGATTTAGAAAAATAAATTATCCCCTTTTTTGTTGCATTAAAGTTGATTTCCATAATCTAAAAACATTTTATTTCTAATTGACTTGAAAAAAATCTAGATATTTTATTTTTGTTTATCATTGTCTTGTTTTAAATAAAATCGATCAGACTATTGCTGGAGGATGTTGCAAACCTGATTAAACTCTTGCTAGCTTATGGTTTATTCCACTAATAGTAATTACCTATTGAGATATATCCTTAGTACCTACCATACATTGTAAGTCACAAGTAGGTAAATTCGTGTTTTGTTAATTACTAATAATGGTTATACAAACTATCATGGGCGCTCACAGAAAAATGTCGCAATAGGATCCAAAATGGAAAACGTATACGTACATATCTATATGATAGTTATGTATCGTAAACAATATTTTCAGAGTGCATTTAGTTTGACGAAGATGTTAGAAATCATAAAAATAATTTCAATGTGTCAAAAAAACTTGAGATGTACATACATACTTATAATAAAAAGAATTATGTGTCTGAAGAAAGGGACTAACGAGTACAATCTCCACCCACACAAACTTTTTAAATATTTGATTTTAAAAATTTGAATTCAAACCGTATGCTATTGTTGTCAACGTGTTCAAGTAATTCTTCTTTGCCTCCCTATTAGTACATAAAAGGACTGGTATTATATTTAATGGAACTTCCTATTAATAGACTGCGCAGTTAAAGAGTTTAGCATGTCAGAGCTATATCTGCCAAAATTGTTTTAGTTTTATATTTTTTTAAATTTGCATTTAAATAATGAATTCGTACAAAAATAAAACAGTACACCCACAGGACAAGTTTTTAGCGTAGTCTTAATTTTCTGTTAATATCTTAAGGCGAGAAACATTTCATAAATAGGTATCTAAGAAAACGAAAAATTCTAAATACAAAACCCGTCTATCCTTATCAGCGTGTGTGAAATGTCTTATTTCAATTAAATATTACTCTAAAAAGTTGAATGTAATAAAGTGGACTGAAAGTAAGTGATGTCTTGAATATAATGTGTTCTTTACTTTTTTAGGTTTTATAATACTGTTTGTGTTATTCGTTATATTTGTTATTGTGACTCAATACAATTTTAATAAATCAAATAGGTAAATAATTTAACTTCTAAATAAATTTTGCAACTGTTATTACAATAATTACTTATGTACTGGAAAAACTAGACTTATTAGTATTTTTTGCACAGTTTTACCTACTCCAGTGTTTTAAAAGACATACCGAAAAACAGATGTAGATCATTCGCACTACTTATTTGACGTAAAAATGCGAAATATTTTGTAGTTGAGTAAGGTTTGGATTTTTTTTGTAAGTTACTTATAGTATATCTTAGTCGCCTCATCACCGGGGACACTAATTAAATATTTTTTTATTGCTTAGTACTTTATCAATTATTTGAAAAGGCTTATTTGATGATGCTATCCGTCTTGCTACTCAACTTTGTTTCTTTGATGGCACGCAAACTCGCTGAACCACACTGAAGCCCGCCTTCTAAACGAAACGGGGGTACCGTCTCACCCGGCGATGACACGGCTTAGATTCCAAAAATTGAATTTGCTATTATTTTTCAGTAGTAAAAGCTTATATATTTACTTTCATTAACTTACTTTTCAGAAAAATGGATCACAAAGGAACAATATCAAAATAAAATTTAAACATTTTCTGTTTATCTAAAATTACTGTTTCTCTCGCTGTGACGTCAACTTGTATACATGCACAATCGAGACATAAACAAAATACACAGAAAACGATTTGACATCATCATGATTCATGACAGCTTTGATACTTTATAATTTGAGGTTAATATCACAAATCTAGTAGATCTGTTATTTATTATTATATAGTGAGCGAGGCAGTAATATCTGATAAATACCTATATTGTAACTTTCCATACTCTTCATGTTAATTTAAATTATAATAAGCAAAAATAACACAAAAAAACAATCGGTCACCAGCACAACAAAAACAAATAGTAAATGGTAAATGACAGAAAATGTGACTGTTCCAGCAATGTCAGAATAGCCAACTTCATTTGTTATACCAACTTAAATTTAAAGCGTAATGCGCAAGCGACATAGTTGACGTCACAACGCCTTATAGAAAAGGACGGAAAATGTTCATATTTTAAAGTTGTTTATCCCAGTTAATATTAGTACATATTTTGAAACATGCTGAATTCAAATAAAAAAATATATATTCTGTGAAACAACCCTATTATACTACAACGATTTGAGATATTTCTTTCTGATTTTGACGTACTTTTTAGGTTTCTGAAGAGTCGACGTTCCAAAGAGCAAGTAAAGCGTAGAGTGTGGTGGAGTCAGCCACATGCTAAAATTTCGGCTGGTATCAACACACTTCCTAAAGCAGCCATAGATTTGCGATGTGTCGTGATAGAGATATGAACCCTTTGTTTTCAACATCATAGTCATCTCTAGCAAAATCGTCGATATTTTTGTCCTAACCATACATATTTTCGCCCTGTGTATATTTTAAAGTAGTTAGCTGTTTTAAATTTTGTAATCGTTAAGACAAACGTGCCCTGTGCCGCTAGAATATCCCAAAGGTAACTATGTGTTATTCAAATAAAAAATCTTGAAGTCTTCCGCATCATAATATTTAGATTATACTTGTATGTATAAAAGATTAGCAGTGAAGACTTCCAGTGTTTTTTATTTTTTAATTTTTGTTTCTTTTTATCGTAAGTCGCTTTCCAGTTGTGGGTATAATAAACTCGACACAGCTGACGAGAATTCGAGTTTGCGCCAGTTGTGATCGAGTTTAAAGAACAAGTTCGCGGAACTTGCGAAATTGAGGCAACGTGCGCGCTCTGTGAATAAAAACAACGGCCAATAAACCTCACCGGACTACTTATGCTGTATGTTGGAAGGCGTTTTGTTAGACACTTTTTTTTAAAGACCTAGCGAACACCTTATTATTTATTTTCATTTAGCCAATATGCAGGGCGTGATTATATAATTTGTAATCAAGTACACGAATGTGCATTATATCAAAGTTATGTAATAAAAAGTATGGTAAAAATTTCCAAATATTAAAAATACGAGCTAAATTCTTACTATAAAAATATATAAAAATTAAACCAAACATTATTTATATAATTGTAATAACATTTGATGCTTTTAAGGGAAAAAATGTATGTATTTGTTTTCATCGTTCCATTGCATTATGTATAAAAATCATATTGGCCAAATGAATCTTTCCTTATCAAAACATTCTTCATTTGGATTTGTCGCGTAACATCAAATATTAAATATATTCGCTCATTTGTCACGGGTTGTGCTGCTAAACTTCAAGTCGTGGGTGATCGATAAAGTTTCCACAACGACGGCTTAAAATAATTATTTTGAAGAATATTGACGAGCCACCAGCAACCAAATACAGGGTGTAATTTTGAGTGTGGGTCATATTTATACAGAGGCTTCCTTTGACCTTTAGAAAAACGTATCTAATAGTTTATTTTTTCAAATTCCGTCGTAAAAACTGATTTTTTTTATCCTTTTTTTTTTTATTAATTTTCATACCCTGGAATAGCTAGTGTAACCTCAAATAATGGCCCGTTAGTGGCAGCTCATGCACAGTTCCACACCATTGCGCGTGTTACTTTTGTTGAGTGGGTGTTCGCCACAAACAGTACTTAGAACCTAGCAAAATACTCAAGCAGTAATCAATAATGATAAATGAAATAAATAGTATGTTGATGGCTTCCAGCCTTCCAACAATGAAAAACATTCAAATTCACAGTTAGATGTAACTGTTTCCAAATGCACTGTAGGTTGCCTACAATTCATGTATTTGTCATACATGAATATTACAGTAGCGGCGTACACAAGTAATATTAAAGTGCATTTTAAAAAACTAATTATAACTCGACTATTTTATATGATTAAAAATAAAAGAATTTCAGATTCGTATTCAGGGGAACACGTACTATAACCCCTAAAAAACTGACCCCACTTAAAGTTACACCCTATATTGTGCGCTGTGCTTATAAGTTATAACACACCACCCAGGAATATGCACAAGTACGCACATTCTAAAGTTTTACTACTAGTCCAATTACTCAGGGTTTTTACCTTCGAATTCTTTATAACTGAACGGATTGACGTGAAATTTTGACTGAATCCCACCCTTTCTTGGGGGTGGAAATTTTTACGCCCAAAATAACCACAGGAATTGATAGAGGAGTCAATTTTAAGTAACAAATGTTATTTTAAGTTTTTTAGATAATTCAATATTTGCCGAGTAATTCGTCATTGAAAATGTTGATTTTTTACTGAAAAAGTACTTGTTTTCGGACAGTTTTTTGCAAATAACTCTGAAACCATTGGATTTAACGAAAAAGTTGTAATGAACAAAAAGAAAGGTAATAAAAAAACAAATCTAATGGCATTATTTTGTTTGTCTCTAATTGCAATATAAACCGAGTTACGGATTTTTAAACATTATTACTTATATGTCAGCTAAAAACTAAATTGGAACCAGTTAACGTTAAATAACGCCAAAACCATAAATATTAGGTAAAAAACTATTTGAACCTTTTTTAAAATGCTTTGAAAAACCTTTAAAATGAGCTGTTTTAAAAGTTTAGAATAAAAATTAACGGAAATATGATCGAAATAACATGATAGTCTAATTTTTTTAAGAAAAAAATAATAAACAAATCAGTGCCTTTGGCGACAGAATTAAAATTAAATGCAGTCCATTTACAGATTTCTTCATTTGTGTTCTAAGAATATGTCCTGGGTCTTTGGCTCACTTACAAAGCATGATTTGGAAAAAAAAATTCATTTTCGAAAATATTAATTTTTCAAATTTTTTTAAAAAATTCGATTTTTTCGCTGTAACTTAAAAATTAAAGGGTGTACGAAAAAATACAGGAGTAAAAATATTTAGCTTGATTTTTGCTGAAGATTTTGCTTTATTTTTATTCCTCTAAAATTAATATTAATCGAGATATCGCCATTTTAAGTTATCATATGAATGAGAGAACCACCCTCTTCGAGCCCTTTAAACCCTTCAAACTTGAAAATGAAGGGCTTAAAAAAGATCAACTCAACAGTTCACGTAGCCCTTATATTTCTCTGCAAAATGAGCCTTTGTGCGATTAAAAATCTTAAAAAGTAAGAGTTATCGTCAAAAAAATAAACCTACCTATAGGTGATAATTTTAAGAAAATTTAGGTCAAAGAATTTTGAAGCATTTAGATCTTTTTTGTATATATACGTATTTAGTATGTGTATATTCGAATAAACCAGTATTATATTATAATACACACTATACTACACATACGCACACACACACCCTCACACACACACATATACAGGCTGTTACAAATTCGCTTCTCACTACAGGGATCTCGAAAACGGTAAGAGATACGAACTAGCTTAAATGGGGGCAAAGTTGTGTAATCAGGGGACCAACATTATGCCTCTAAAAAATTAGTTTTCGAAATATTTGAAAAAAGAAACGAAATTTTGGAAATCCGTTTTTGTTTCATTTCAGCTTTGTTTGAGGTGATATTGAAAAAAGAAGAACACTTTCTCATGGCCACTTTTGCCCTCTGTCGAATGGCATAATCAATTTTTATATGTAACGTTTCGTCTCTCCAGGACCATCATCAACTTCATTTTTTTAAATACGACCTTGTAAATTTTATTACATTTTTTGCAAGCCTTCATGACCCCCAATACTGTACTGCCTCAGCCGAAACCAGATTCAGACGTTTTGTCTCGGAAAAATTCATCTTCAGTGTATTCGTTCCAAATTTATCTAATTTTTTTATTTAGATTTCTTTGTTTATTGAATTATCGTACACTCTTAAGTGTCGTTAGACCCTGTGAAATCTATTTAGTTATTTAAAGTATTAATTAATAAGGGTTGAAAAGTTGAAATTAATTTAAAATTATTTTATAAGGGAATAAATGTTTATTTAATACGAATGCACATTTAAAATGTTTCTACTCTTTCAATAATATTTTTTCATTTTATTTTCGAAAGAAGGGTTTCAAGGGTTGAAAAGTGGCAATCGATAAAAAAGATTTTTTAATCAAGAAATCAATTTTAATTTGATAAAAATGCATTTCAAGTTGAAAAAAAATTTTTTAAAATCCAAAGGTTTTTTTTAAAGGTTTTTCTGGGTTGAAAATTTGGGATACATTAAGTTTCATGTTAGACAGCACATGAAATTACTGATACTGCATAAATAAAAAAGATTTGATTACATAAAACGCTTAAATTTGTATTTTTTCTTTTTTTTTCAATAAGGGGTGGTTTTCACCCCTTAAGAACAAAAACCACACTTAGTGCATATATAAGTTTTGAAGTGGGGGGTACGGTGAGCCTAATTCTAAATTTTGAGAAAAATCGATGCAGTTATAAAAAATTCTGAGGTAATACTATATTTTCAGTTACAATAACTGGGCTATACCATCGTGATAAAATAATTATGGACTTAATTCGGACACATAGTATTAATTCATCATTAATTGAATTATCATTCCTCAACAAATTAAAACAATTAGGTACAATTTGTATACTTGCAATCTTCAAAATTTTGTAAATTTTAATTTTTCGTTTCAACTACCTTTAATTAAAATCATCAATCAAAAATCAAGTCATTGGTCAAGAACGTTAATTTATTTGCACATTAATATTTTATTGGGCGGATATTTACATTGTCATATCTATCTATAATATAAATACATGAGTCATTTAATAATGATAATAAAAATAACAATAATAAATGTTTATTAATAGAATGTACTCTCACATGAGAATTACCTACTTTTATAAGATAATATTTATTCAGGTAGTGTTTAAAATGCACAGGATAAAAGAGGACAGACGATAATACGTGTGTCCACAGCATTAAACTTTGGTTAAGGAACACATAAAAAATCATTCCTTTTCCAACATTTAATATGAACAGGGTGTCTACATATCGTCAACTAAGTAAATGACGGTTCTCTGAGATTAAAAAGTAATTTTTTGCTGCGTATTTCTTATATAGTAGGTGAAGATATCATAAAATTTTATTTAGAAAAGTTAAGTCACAATTAAAATTATTATCCACATAGAAAGTCTGAAGATAAGGTCTACTTTGATATTTTTTTATTTAATAAATCATTGGATTGTCAAAATAAAATCGATTGCCATGAAATGTGGGACATTAAAATAAATTTTACTTTTAAAGAACGTCTAATTATTTTTTTCCTTTATATCTCTTATAACTGATAAGGTCTAATTAATATTAAAAGAAATTTAAATATATTATAGATTATGTTTGAATTTAGCAATCATTTCCCAAAATGTGTTTCTGGTAAAAAAAATTTTTCTTTGCCGCCAGTAGTTAAGACATATGGACACCCTATACATATTAAATGCTGGAAAAGGATTGGACATTTATATGTTTCTTAACTGGCACAGTGTATTATCGAGTTCCAAGGATAAAATCAACTGCTACTAATAATTTCTTAATATATGTTGGCCTAGTTAAAACTAAATTCTACTACAATTGAACAGGAACAAAATATTTTGACAAAAATTAATTTTTTTCATAAAATGAAAAATAAGAAAGTGTGCACTCTTTTCAGCTGTATTCGTGGGCGCACAGTATATCTGAATGTGAAAGTAATTTGTTTTTAGGAAAAAAAATAATACATTAATTGTTTGTTATGCTTGTTTTTGAATTTTTTTTCTTACTAAGTCGGGTCAACTAAAATGGCCGTAGAACTCATTTTATCCATCTTTCAGGTTTTCCATTTAGTGCAATTTTTGGATTAAAAAGATAAGTTATAAATATTACAAGGTGCTGTGCTACCCATTGCTTTGTTTCAATGTCTCTGTTAGTTTTTTTTACATTTAAAAATTACAAATTATTTTCAGTTGGAAGAATGAAAGGGCCAACCAGGAAGGAGGAGAATGTCTCAAAATTGGCACCCCGTATAGATTACGAAATGAAAATAGGAAAGATGAAACGCATTGCATCAGCTTCGTTCACAAGCAAAACCCAAACAATTCCCACAACTTATGATGAGGCCAAAGCTTCATGCAAGGCTCGGAAGAGAAAAGAACGCCAAGAAAGCATCAGTTCTCTGTGTCAAGATAGAAAAGTCATTAGATCAAATTCCGAGGAGCGACCTGCCCAGAAAAAGCATATCGAAAACAAAAACAACATAAGAAGAGTGTCAAGTAGTGAAGATCTTCAAAAATCTACATCCATAGAAAAAATTAACGTATCGCCAAAAAGATCTGTTCCAAGTGAGAAAATATTGGCCTATGAAGATCATGAGTATGAGAGGAGGAGATGTCACGAACGATTTGCTAGACCATTAATGTTGAAAAAGAAGCATCCTAACAAGAGATTGAAAATTAGATGTATATCCCGCACTAAATTCAAGCCAGAACTGCCTAATGACAACAAAGAATATAAGAAAATAAGTACACCGCAAGGCACTTATTCAAGTGAGTGTGAAACTACAAACAAAGAAGAATCGAGTGGAGTACGCTTTCTCCAATTGCACGAAGAAGAAAGGGAGCGTTCGCCAAGTCCAACAACCCTTGTATCCCCTGTGCTGGATTTGACAACTCTACACGAACAAGTCGATTGTTCTGAGCCTCTACTTTCTCACACTACCAGACAGATCAATGAAAATACAGAAACATTGCCTAGTATTTCCATAGCTTCGAACCGCCTACTATCTTCTCCCAGAAATTCGATTATAGCAACGCATAGGATTTACCTAGATCCAGATGTACCCCAAATGACGTCATCTCTCGATAAAACTCCTCAAAATCCCGTAGACGAGAGACTACAAAGATTGTCAAAGCAAATTAATAGTCTAAAGAAGAAAATCAAGAAATATGAAATTGAATTCGAGTCTAACTATGGATTCAAACCGTCACACGTAGAGAAAATGAATGATAAAGCCATGAAAAAATTTTACACCGATCTCGGTAAACTAAGAAAAGAACAGAAACAGATGAATGAAGTGTCCAAGAATTGTTTATTAATTAGTGGAAACGAAACTGAGCCCGAGAAAACAGATGTGATTAATTTGAAAGATACCATCCACGAAATCGATAAGGTAAATTAACATACTCGTATCTCAAATAATATTAATTTTTTTCTCCCCTTTTTAGAGGCTAGCTATGAAGAGAGACTCGGCTAATAGAAGTTACAATATAGAAGAAATGACATCGGAGCAATTGCTAGAAGAAAAAGTTGCCATTCAGAAAGCGCTACTCTATTTAGAATCTATACATGGCCGACCGAACAGTAAGGAAGATCGGGATATAGTTAGACCATTCTATGATAGGTACAGGGTGTTGAAAAGGATGGTTACCAAAATATCCATGGTAATTTATTTTTTTTTAAGTTTATGTAAACAAATAATATTTTTAATTGTAAATGGTATATCTCACAGATTGTTTCGCTGCCAGGCCAGTTTCAGAATTCACTCATAATACGTTTACGTTAACTATCCATAGTATTTACCTCTGTGTGTTCTCTGAATACTTGCTCATTGTTTTGTGGTGTTGCCATAACCTCTTAATATCACTAACTATTGCAGATAATCTCCAATAGTGTCGTCCCTATTATCATGTAGAGGCGTATGTGCATATTATAAAACAAAAATAACATTGCAATGTTGCATGATGACTGGTTCATAAAAACAGTAACGATAAGTTTATTCTTCTGTATGTGGCAAGAATCTTTAGAATTCCTGATATTCTGGTATTTTTACAACTGGGAATCTCTCCCTGACGCAGTGAAACTAAATTCATTTTTTGGATTTAGCCAGAAAAAATTAAACAACTTTGCAAAATTTACGGTTTTTCTGGATATCTCCGGAACTACCCGGAATTTTAAAACTTTCTAAACAGCATATTGTTACGTATAAAAAACATACTGTATATCTATGAATTCATCAAACTTTAAAAAAAAATAAGTACACTAATCGATCCTACGAAAAAAAAAAAAATATTATTTACTTTATTTATTCACTATTCAACTTATGTTTATAGCAATACTGTATAAAAATAATTTTGGGTCAAACAATGAGATTTTTTTTTGTATTTTTTCCGTACAATTGAATGGTGTAATCAGTTTTTGATTTTTTTTTAAATTTAAACAAATTATAAACAATTACTGAAAAATTCATTGCAGCAAGTCATTTTTTACTTTTTTGCATTTTTGAGTATGTTTTTGAACTGTGATTACAAATTTTTTTATTTCACCAAAAAATATATGTCAAAACGAAAAAAATTATTACCGGCAGAACTCTGTACAATGATTTTTTTTTTTTAAATTGAGTTATTTAAGACAGAGAAAGGTATACTTTCACCAAGTTTCGTCAAAATTAAATTATTTTTGCGGAAATGAGAAATAAAAAACGAAAAATCAGAAAAAAATCTGTTTTTCGCATTTTTCTCGGAAATTTTGAGGTTATATTAAAAAATGACTACTACAAAAGTTGTAGAATTTTGCATGATCTACAACTTTTACTTTTTGGTCTGACGTCAACTTTCACCAGAAATCCCAATGATATAATTTTTCATAACTTTTCAACCCCCCAAATTCAACCCTCCGCCGCCCCTGCGCACGCATTTATTTATTTTTTTTTTTCGTTTATTATAAGCCCCTTTACCATTTCCACTTATAAAAGTCCAGGTAACAATTTTCTTTTTTTTCCCCTCTAAATGAGTTATGATTGATCGGTATACGCGCCTATGTGATAAGAGGGACGGTATAGTGTAAATTTTAAATCATATGTGCAAATCGCAATATCTAATGTTTGCTGTTACTAGCATTCAACTTTAAGAGATATGTGATATTGTGTTTCCCTATTTCAGTCAAGTACATCTGGTAATGAGTTAGCCACGATTCACGAGAATGAAGCTATGAATTTTGTAACCCCCACTTCATCGTCGCAATCGAATGACACAGAATCCGAGAAGACCACAGTATTGCCTTCTATCAGTACTGACAGCAGCGACACAGACACCTCCATAGGGGAAAACCTCCATTCGCTGTCCAGGACAGAACTTTTCCAACAACTTAAAACTGTTACAGAAGAGAAGAAAGAACTGAGGAGAAAAATAAAGGAGTTTGAGATGGAGACGCAGTTGAAGACTGGTAGGATGATACAGAAAGAAGATAAGGCTCCTATGGATGGTGTTTATGCAGCCTACAAAAAAACGAAAGCAAAAGTGCGATTATTGGAAGCATTAGTTGGAAAACAGAATTAGAATGTCCTGTTACTTTTTTTTAAATATATTGAGAAAGGAATATTGTGTGGTTTATAGGTAGAGAATAACTAAGATATATGTAGTAAAGAAGGAGAGATTCACCTACAATCTTGCGGAGACAAGTGTCACAGCAAGGAGTTGGGAACGTAGTGCCCTGTCGAGTCTTCAGAATTAACTCCCAAAAATGATAGTTATTTATATGCTGCCCTAAGGGAGGTATTCGAGAAACTTTGTATATTAATTCTATGATTAATTTCAAGCAAAAATTATTCTATTCCCTTTTCCTGAATCTTGAAACATTGGTGTTTGAATGTGCCAGGCCGTATGGGGTAGTTGCTAATGAGTCAAAAAATAAAAACGATCAACGGTCAATGATAGCAATTAACAAACTGACAATCAATTTTTTTCTAATCCCAGCAAAATTGATAATTATTAAATTACCTAGCCCTTTAGTCGCTACAATGTACTTTAATGTTTAGCAACTACCCATACGATCTGGCAACTTCAAACCATCCCAATATTTCAAGAACCATTGGGAATTCGGGAAACGTGAATAATATCAGTTTTCCTTAAAATTAGTCATAGAATTCAAATATGAAGTATCTCGGATACCTCGGTGGCCACCCTGTATATCGGTCATTCTCTATTTAAAGATCTATAAAGGTGTCTAATGTCAAGAAATTTCATTCATATAGAGACAAAAAGGTAGAAGTTAAAAATATAAATAAAATTCTAAAATGGTTCTTATAATCTCACTTAATCTAATAAAAATACTTGCGTAACTATTTAGAAGAAATATCTCTTTTATAACCCAATCTAATCAAGATGTAAGTAACAAAATCATTATTTTTATGTCCATACTGTATATGCATATTTCATGTTGAATGGTGGCAGCTGATGAAATAATCATGTGATGGATACAAACAAATGTTATTTTTTCATTTCTCACAAATTTAATTTTTTCAATACTTATTCGAACTTTCAAAAAAATTTCTGCCGTTGATTTTTTTTTACATTAACATTCTATTTTTTAAACATCCATAATGCATATAGACAACTTTATATGAAAATACTGAAGAAAAAAAATTACTGCTAGTATCTAGTAGATGATTATGAAATAAAACACATACTTGCAGCCATTTTCTAGGCTTCACGGTCAGCAATCCCTAATTTAATTTATGTCGTGCAAAGTTCCCAAATTGTGTGAATCACGTTTTGTTATTGAAATATGACCATTTTAGTTTTCACCAGCCGCCACTGACATTTACTTAATAATCTCATAATTTTACATTTTTTTATTTAAAATTATCCTTAAAGACGATCATTTTTGTTTTTAGGAATGAGAGTAAGAAACAACAAATATATAATATCTAGCGTATTATGGTATTGAAACTATCAAAATATATATTATTGAGAGCATTAGGATATGATTGTATGAACATAAAATAAGCTTGTACTAAATAAATGCTTATATTGATTTTATTAAATGTTATTAATTGATTGTAAAATTTTAGAGGAGAACTTTTGATAAGTAAACCTAGTTATGGAAATAGTTTACTAAGTGATCACTGTAAATAATTTGTTACCTATAACTGATTTAAATTCTCTCTTGATTGTGACATTTTGTATAGATAATTTTTTTTTTCACTTTTCTACTCTTTTTATACTTTACTTTAAAATTCTGAAATCTCTTTAATATGAATATTTAATATTTTTCAGAAAAAAGAGAGGTAGGTACATGGTTTATTGAAAAATATGTACCGTATGAAAGGCTTGCTCATAATGTTGAATTACCGTACTTTTTAAAGTTTATAGTATATATTTAGGAATGTTTACTGTTACTTATTTTTGGGTGATAATTTGATAAAATATCTGTAAATAAAACTTTGCAGCTACAGCAAATGATATGATTTTTCAAATAAAAAAGTGACATACCTAAATATGGAAGTAACACGAAACATAAAAGAAGCTTGTCAGATGTGTTTTAAATAGTGCTTGGAATACATAATCAGCATAATCGGAGAATACTCCCAAAATAAAATTTTTTTGGAACAAAATTTATATACTACAAAATAATTTTCATCCTAAGAATAAATGTTAATTATTGTTTTTGTTGAGGCTGCCTCTCTCTTGGTAACGATTACCGTATGTGTAAAAATAAAGTATACATTATTGTATGAAATTGAAGTATACTTACATTATAAAGTTCTAAGTGTGATTTTGTTGATAATATTATTTATCCTATGTAACAATTACGTCATTTTATAAACGTATTCGTTCAAAGTGTTAATGTATTTAAATCATAATTATTGTTTGGCAACTATAAGTAGATATATTACAACAGGAGCAGACATTGTGTTATAGATAATAAAAATGTATATTCCTTATAAATATTATTTGTTTTATTCAATACCTATAGGTATATGATAGAGTTTCGGAAGGGGTGATTCAGATTTAATCTGGATAACTTCGGGAATCGAACAGGTTAAAATAATGTTCAATCATGATATAAACTTATTTCTTAAATCGTATCGTTTCGGAGATAGAGGTCATAGGAACTTTTTCCCCTCTTCTTAGCACTAAAAATACTTTTGAAATAATACTTTTAAACTGACTTGTTTTTCATGGGTTGCTGTATCGTTAAATGAAATTTACGCGGCTAGGGCGCTACAGTGTTACGGATTTCATTGAATATCTCAGAAACCAGGCCAAATATCGAAAAAAAAAACGAGACAAAAAAGTTAATGTAATTTATTTATTTAATTAATTTTTTTGAAGTTTTTAAATTAGAAGGGGGTAGCACACAAAATACACTTCTAAGAGGGGTAGGTGGTTCAAACTAATATGAAGCTTATGTAAGATCATAAGGAGTGTTTGTGTTCCGAATTTCACTTCAATCGGATGGGTGCATGGTTCAAAAGTTGAGGGAAAAGCGGGAAAAAAAATTCTATTTCAACGCCCTCTATCTTCGAAACAATGCTATTTAGGAAATAAGTTTATATCATGAATGAATATTGTTTTAACCTGTTCTATCGATTCTTGAAGTTATCTAGATTAAACCTGAATCACCCTGTACTATAATGAATGCTAATGAAATCTAATTCTTTGAAAAAAGGTGTCATGTCATAAAATGTCACAGGGAAATATTGTAGCTGTAGTCTTTGATACCTAACCTGTATCTCAAAAACAAACAATAAGTCCACAGTAAAATATAGTCTTATTTTTTTATGTTCTCAGATCCTGAAATTACGGTACCTTTTCCAAAATACTCTTTATACTATATTGGATTTTCTTGCAAATAGCTTCATATCACTCGGTATTTTTTTAATCAAAATAATAGTTTTCCAATATAGAGAAATTCAGAAAATAAGTTAAGTATATGTGAAAATTGAATGACATTCATGCATAAAAAAAGTTGACTATCATTAACGAAATTGTTAGTTTATGTTATAGATTATAGTAGGAACCAAAGATATTTATAATACCTACATAAACATCCTCGAGGAAGTATTTGAAAGTTTAAAGCTCGATTTAGCTTTTAGTATTTGCAGTTACAAAGTTATTCATGCAAACAAGGAAAACACAGGGGTACGCCGTTATTTTTGGCGGGAAACGTGGCTTGGACAATTTGGGACCGAGGGGAACTATTCCTCTTTGTCACACAAACAACGGAATTAGTACAAAGATTTCGAAATTGGACACTCCACAAATTCATGAAAAAAGAAAGCTTACCATTGAATATTGAACTTCAACCAACGTGTCTAACTCCCTCGAAGAATGCCAGTGCCACGGTCCGTCCGTGTGCCAATGCCACATTCACTTCACTCGCGAAACGCGGAATTGATAAGTCTACAACTGATTCCTCAGAAGATTAAATCCACCCGGGATCTCCATTGGATATTCCGGTACGTGGTCTAAAATCTAGGTCTCCTCTTCCAAGAAAGCAGAGATACTCGTAACTCACCAATCAACGGATATTAACGAATTTACTCACTAAGTTGACCACGGCAATCGGGCAATCAACATAACTCCGATTAGTCATTTAGGTATAGTCACTATCATCACTAACACTCATCACTATACCATTGTGGATGTTCTATTAGGCTGTATTTATGAAGCACTGAAATGAAAATATTATATTAGACTTTAAAAAACACAACTATTTTCTTTAGCATCTTTAGTATACTGAAGAGTGAAGACTCAAGAGTATACTCTTATAAAAAATCTCACGAAACATCAAGAAGTCTGGCAACTAACCCGGAAATTGTTTACTTATTTTTTACAATTTCTGTCGGCTATAAGTAAGATAGTTAAAAATCAAGTCTTCTTATTATTCCGTACGTTTTATATATTGTTTTATGTACTTACCTAAAGAAGGAAACTTTTCGGTTCTCTTCTCCAACTTGTTCACTTCTACTATTTATATACAATGTTGTATAAATACACTTGATAAAATAAATAATTATTGAAATCCCAGCGATGAGTACATACACGTTAAAGTTGACCGAAATGACTGAGTGACCGCCGGGCTTCTGCCAGGCTAACAGTAGCAACTAGAGATGTGTTGCAATTAATGCAATTAAAGATGTGTTGCGATTGAATAATTATTATTTTCAGATCATTTCGAGCATAGCGTCTAGCAAATTTGTATTAGAAATACATAAAAGTGATGGCGAAGAATTAATTAGACCATTATTAGTTTCGTCCTGTTCTCAAGATTTTGGTACGGATAAAATTGAGGCTGTGGCTTAAACAACTGGTAAAGCGTAATAAATTGTAAGTTATACTTTTTTATCCCCCATTTAGTTTATAGCCGCATATTCTGTAATCGCTTGTTAGAAATTTAATTTATTTTTGGTTGGTGCTGACCCTCTTGCGGTATTTCTTTATACCATAATTAAATTATGTATCTTGTTCTGTGTTTAGTTCAATGGTACGTTTTTCATCCAAACCGTTTTGATCTTGACGGTGTCACCGCGTGACGTTATTCCATGGCTAGAAATTGGCCTCAACGATTTGGAATCGAGGGGGATTATCCCTCTTTATCCTGCCTCATCTCGTGTAGGCCTGGACAGCTTTCGTAGGTGGGCCCCATCCGTCGTCTACCCCGATCGCAAATGCGGCCGGTGTAAGCGCTTTGTGGGACCTGGACCTCCTTTTGTCCTGGCTGGGCCCCGCCGGCTAGGGCCCTTTCTTCTGGCGCTCTTCTTGCTTCGCCGGCTCTTCTGTCACCGTGTATCAAGTCGGTTTACTGATGCACAATTGGATGTTGATGGTCACGTGGTTACAACGGATCCGTAATCACGCATACATGTGGATCCAGGCTAATAGACTGCATAGCATAAAGGAAGTAAACAAAAAAGGGAGAACGCTCGATTACAGAAGTAGGGTGACAAAAATAGTAAATAAACAAAAAGTAAACAGTGATGCATAACAATCGTAATGACTCAGATTTTGGGTGAGAGATTTTCTTTGTGCTAATAATTAAGTCAAAATTATTTTATTATGTCCGATGTTGCTGGTGAGGATTATTAGCTTAATAACTGATTTGATTATTAAATGTTCTTATATTCCAGGAAGCGATAAACAAGGTCTAGTCTTTGAAATCATATCGGCCAGAATTTCGGAAGAGATTGAAGAAAGGAAACATGTGATATACACTTTACAGGTCCGTTTTATTTCTGGCAATGACGATTTGAGTCCTTCCGTAATAGAAAGGAGATACACTCACTTTTTAAACCTCTACAATGATTTAAGGAAAGAGCAACCTCAACTGATGGCTAGTATTGCATTCCCCAAGAAAGTTCTGTTAGGCAACTTTGACAATGAACTAATTTCTACTAGAAGTACAGGGTTTGAATCGCTTTTGAAGCATATCACTATGGAGAGTAAGTTGAGGAGCTCCAACTCACTACTGAAGTTTTTACAGGAAGTTGAATTACTCAAAGCCAAGGATTTATTGGATAAAAAGGATCATGACCTCGCTTATCCTATTTTAGAAAATAATTTCAAATTACTAAATAAGGTAAATAATAATTATATAGTAGGTACCCTGGTTTTATTATATTTTAAATGTTGAAATTATGAACTTATTTTGTGTTCAGCAGTATACTAATTTGTATAATTTTGCCAGGTATTCACAGATAGATCTCCCGCAGTATTACTAGCCTTATGTCGGCTACTAGCTTGTACCCTGTCTATTCCAGGGATGCCCCATTCTCTGAAATGGGCAGATTTGACCTTGCATAGGTACGAAGGAGTCAGCGATAGTGATTTATTGCAACTGTATGTGCCGTTATTGCAGACCTGTGCTAGGGTTTGGTGGCAAAATGGTAGGAATAAAGATGAACTCGAGCAGAGGCTCGCGACTCTTCAGAAACAAGGCGTTAAAGTTGGTGAATCTATGTCGCTTATGGATGCAGTGAACTCGGTAGAAGAAAAAATTTTTCCACTAAATTAACGGTTTATTTTTAAAAAGCAGTCATTTCAATCTTTATTAAAAATGTCAATTAAAATATAGGACGTTTTCTGGAGTTTTAATTGATATGGGTAAAAATCAACTGATTTTAACTTGATAGTTTAAAAGAAAATGTCAATTTTCTAATGAATAATACACAGTTTAGCAAGTAAGTTTAATATTTACACTTGGTAGGTTTGGTTTGTGATATCTTTATACTCGGACACATGTATTAGCACACCATATTTTCTAGTGCTCTGCAGTGATATGTACGTAGTATTAAGTACATATTTTTGTGTTTAATCGAACCTATTTATTGTTAATTTATTGTTTGTACATGTACAAAAATTTGTCTGCATTATTATAAAATAAAATGCTTTATCATCACTTACGAATCGATTTTTTTTAATACCTTATTAGTAACTTGTAAATTAAAAGGTTAAATACAGTCACAAAATCCCATTTTAATTGTTTTTATTAATGCAAATGCACGACTGAATAGTGCAATCCAAAAAAGTTAAAGTACCTGTTGTAAAGTTGTGGACTATAAAAGGTTTCAGCGCTAAAATTATTTGAGAGTAAAAATAAGGCAGAAAAATTAAAAATGAAGACTGCAGTAGTTCAGTTCTATCAGCGATATTGGAATAATTTATTGAAAATTACAATTCGTTAAACTATGTCACCTGTAGATACATCTCAAAAGGTTGTTTCTCGTCCGTTACTGTACGTAGTAGTTAATTAGGTATTTATTTAGGACCTACAATGTACAATACAAAAGTTTATGTTTCCAATGCCAACGTATTAAATAATTGGGCGCCATTGCTTTATTACAAAAAAAAAATGTTCACCAAGGTCAGAAATAATTTAAGGAAATAGTATAATATTGATTATTTCGCGAGGGTAGTTAATGGTAGCCCATAGGTAAAAAATATGTTTAATTTTAAACAATTGATAGTTTTAAATTTCAAAATATTAATTTAAAAAAATCAAATCTATTGCCTCATCTGGTTGCCTTGACTTCTGAAATAAATATACAAATTGCAAATGCCCCCGACCATAGATTAGAAACCTTTACTTGACAATCTTGATATTCTTGATTAGTGTAAAGTAATGGTTTTATAAGCTATGGTGGCGTGTATCTAATGGTATAAAATAAATAAATAAATTTATTTCGTTTTTATTTGAAATAGAATATTATTATTTTTAGTAAGACTACATCGCAGATCGCACTACGGAATTTTTTGACTTTGTAACCTAACCTTATCTTTTGGATCTCGCTTTTCTAAAATATATGAACAGTTTTTAGTTTATAAGTATTTAATTCATTGCTGGTTTTATCAGTTTAAGGCCGGCCTTGTAATTTGTTATAACGTTCCTAGCTTAATTTTTGCAAATCATCTGAAGACAAGTAAAGGTAAGAAGTAAACAGGTAGATAGGTAATATACCTAATAATTAATATTTATTATGTAAATATAATCAATTTTATCTGTATAGGCATTTTATTGGACAAAATAAAATGTATTAAATATATCTATTATCCAAAACTTACAGATGGCTTTAAAGGAGGTATCATCAAATAAATCGTTTGGAGGCTGGCAAAAAGTGTATTCTCATAATTCTACAGAGCTAGGATGTTCTATGAAATTTGGAATTTATCTACCTCCTCAAGCAGAAGAAAAGAAGCTTCCAGTAATCTATTGGCTTTCTGGACTTACTTGCACAGAAGCTAATTTCATTGAAAAAGCTGGGGCTCAAAGGTATAAAATAGATATAGAGTAGTATTAGATATATTGTTGGTTTTCTCGTTGAAGATATGCTGCTGAACATGGGGTGATTATTGTCAATCCAGACACTTCTCCAAGAGACTTAAACATTCTCGGTGATTCTGATGCCTATGATTTTGGTGTTGGTGCTGGGTTTTATATAAATGCCACACAAGATCCGTGGAAAAAAAATTATAGAATGTACAATTATGTAACGATTGAACTACCCAGCATTATAAACAGTAATTTTGGAATTTCTGAAAATAAACAGTCCATAATGGGACACAGGTAAATTAGCAATACATATTTGAAAAAAAAATTAAGGCTAAATTTTCAATTATTTTGTTTAGTATGGGAGGTCACGGCGCACTGATATGTGCCTTAAAAAATCCGGGATTGTATAAATCAGTTTCTGCTTTTGCTCCAATTTGCAACCCATCAGAATGTCCCTGGGGAATTAAAGCCTTTACGGGTTATTTGGGTCCTAGGGAAACCAGTTTTTGGTCTGATTGGGATGCTACAGAATTGGTAAAAAAGTATAATGGGCCGCCTATAGAACTATTGATAGATCAGGTAAGCTAATTGTATTTAACTTTTAATGAATCCTATTTGTCATAATATCCCTAGCGGATTTTGAATATTTTGTCATATAACTCTAGAATTTTCTTGCTGTTAGTTAATGTCTATTTCAATTTTAAATTAAATGCTTAATCAATAAATTTTTAATGCATTATGCAATTTTATGCAGAATGGAATAGAAAATAAAGTAATCTAAAGCATTCTTGATTACATGTGTGTATGTTTGAAAAGGATAACATTTTTTCCTCATTATCAATTCCGTGCGCATAAAATTTGACCTAATATTAAAGCGTCGTCATTCCGATTCATTATAGATAACACTATAAAGAAGCTTACTTATATATATTTACTAACTATCCAGGGAGGCATTGTATATCTCCAGAATGCAACGCTCAATTGAATTTCCTTATGAATTTCTCTTGAAGAATTCTTGAATAAATCACATTTAACTCTTCCAATATCTCTAAAGATGACGAAATTACAGTCGAATCTTAACTTTTAACTTGTCTGGGACCTGATTCTAGGGTCTGGAAGACAACTTCCTCTCTCAAAAACAACTTCTACCTGAAAACCTAATCGAGGCGTGCAAAGCTGTAGGAGTTCCTGCCATCCTCAAAAAGAGAGAAGGTTACAATCACAGCTACTTTTACATTGCCAGTTTCATCGGTGAACATATTAAATATCATGCTGAGGCACTACTTAAATAGATTAATGGTTGCACTGAAATGGTTTTAAATTTTATGATATTCGTCATTACATTTGTTGATTGTGTAACATGCTTAATTTAATAAAGCTTTAAATTATTCATATCATTTTAAGGTTAATTGATCTATGCCTTGGGGAATCAGTATTATTATTGGAACTTACCATTTGGTTCTACTCTTTAAAACAATAAAATAAATCGATTAGTAAATGTACTTCGAAATTGCACCTCTTTCCGCAACTTTTAAAATTTGTAGTAGTCTCTCTTATTTTTAAAAAATTTGCGTACAAATTTTAAAACAATTTGCCCATTATACGTAAATGACATAACACTTTTTTTTTTTTTATTGGAAATTTTATATACAAAACTTCTTGCTATACCTATTACTGTGTCAATGGCCATTGTAGATAACCCTTTGACTTATATGATAAAACTATTTCATTACAATAGAGGTCTTGGTTCTGTAGAGAGCAAGGAACAATCCAATTTAGTATTTTAACGACCAGAAAATAAATTTGGTGATTGAAACTGCAAAAAAATGGGTAAAAATACAGTTTTAACTGAACATCAGTCTCATAGAAGTTTCGAGGGTTTTCAAAAAGTCTATTCTCATGAGTCTAATGTGTTGGGGTGCACAATGAAGTTTGGGGTTTACTTACCACCCCAGGCAGAGAATCAGAAACTGCCCGTTCTCTATTTTTTATCAGGGTTAAGTGCTACCGAGCAGAACTTTATTATAAAATCCGGAGCTCAGAGGTAAGATTATTTTACTAAAATTTTCAACATGTACTTGTTCACTCTCACAAAAATATTACACTAAAACATTTATTTTCCATAAAAACTATAAAATCATATGTTTATGCGAAATTGTCTTGTATTATAAGTACGGTCAGATATAAAAATATTAGTTAAAAAATAATTATTCAAAACAATTTGTTTTTCAATACCGTATCTGTTAATGTTAAAGGTCGACCAATTAGATGATAATTTTCTTAGTTATTCTATATATATATATATATATTCATTAATGTGTACTAATTTTTATTACTGCTTTTCCTGCATAAAAGTTTCAAAATATGTATTCAAAATTTAGAATTTCTAAAATTTTCCATTTGGTTTTTTTAAGCCTTACTTGGCTGTATTTAATTATCCACTGTAACTCTGTTGTTTGCATCCAAACAGAAAAATTCTTCAAACTCATTAAATATCTTGTAATTTGTGAGATATTACAATAACATTTATTTTAAAATAAAATTCAACATGACATCCATATGAAATGAAGTTATTTTCTCGAAAATGTTTAAAAAATGACAGTGAAAAAAAAATAAAAAATACACCAGATTAATTGAAGATCTTTTTCATTTGAATTATAACACATAGTTACAACTACATTTTAAAAAGAGCAACTTTCGAATTGAAACGAAGAAGTCATATTTTTTGATGAAATTAAATTCTGCTACTTCATCTCTGTACTGATAATCAAATTGCTTCACCCTGTATATAAGTATAATACTTAAAACTTGACACCAAGAAAAATGTTTTTTATAATTTTTACTTGTCTGAATATTAAATAAATACAACCTAAAAGACTGGTCAATTTTTTATTTAGAATAAACTGATATTATTCTAATCGGTTGAAATTAAAAATTACGTTTTATTTTTCAAAATATATGGAGACTAATTAGCCATATTCTAATAACTTTTATTTATTTTGACTAAAGTTAAATTTCTATATTGAAATAATGTCAATAACAAAAAAAATAGAAAAATGTTGGTTTTCTATTTTTTTTATGGTGGTTCTTTAATTCTTAACTTGAGCTTTTTACAATATATTTTAATTAGCTTGCCTTTGTCGATATTATTAATGAATTAAATATTAACACCTATAATACAGTTCCTAATAATTTTCCGAAAGAGTAATATTTGATGATTACTATGTAATATTCTTAATTAAAGCTAAACTCACTAAAAGTTGCACATATTTTTTGAAAATTCTATTTTAATTTAGTTATAAAATAATGTTATTTTCTCCCAAACGTAAAATCTTGTATATAGTAAAATTGCCCTTAGACAAGTAAAAATTATTAGAAAAAGTTTTTTGTTCGCTTTTTTCATCATTAATTTGTACTATTATTAAGTACTTGTACAAACTTTAAACTAATTTTAAGATAAATAGTTCATATGATCGTGGGTCTGCAATAACTTGGTTCTTGAAATACAGAGCGTTCAAAAAAAATTTGTGTTTCAGCAATTATTGTAAATGTTATTAACTTATTTGTGGAAGTAGTTTAGTCTTAGTCTCGTAAATGGTCTCAGTTTGTCACATCGCAATACAATCAATAAAAGACACATTTTTTCACTTGTACAATTCATCTTACAAAATGCAGGTTTAACTTTAAACCCGTTTTTTTACAAAACGGCTGCTTTCAGTGACAAATACTAAGAGTACCCTTTGTACATAAAATTGAATGGAGAATGGGTATGTTTAGTCAAACATGACATACAGTGTGACACGAAAAGTTATAGTTATTTAAATCCAGGTACAACACTGTAAGTGGCGCCCTCTAACATTAAACAAAAAACTAAGTAAATATATGAGTTTCTCATCATCAATACTCCCATTTTCTCGAATTTCGTCAAATTTCCATTTTATTGAAAAATTTTTTTTTGACGTTCTGTATCAAGAACTAATTCGTTGCGGACCCATATTCATATGAACTTTTTATCTTAAAGTTAGGCAAAGATTCACTTTTTAAAGATTGTACGAGTACTTAATAAAGACCCTGTGTAAGAGTGAAAACATGTAGAACTTGGTTAAGTCGAAATTGAGTTTGTTCGACATGTCACATTTTTTTTACTTGATTAAAGTGTACTTATCATTATCTTTATAATATATCTTAAAAATTTATGTTTAGGTTTGCTGCAGAGTACGGCATAATTCTAATAAATCCAGATACCTCCCCACGCGGAGACCACATCCCCGATGATCCAGATTCATGGGATTTTGCCATTGGTGCTGGGTTTTTTGTAAATGCAACGCAAGAACCGTGGAAGAAAAATTTTAAGATGTACGATTATTTTCTGCATGAATTCCAGGAGGTTGTAAAAACTAACTTTCCAGTTAATGGAGAAATATCTGTTATGGGGCACAGGTAAGAACAAAAAAAAATCTGAAAGGGTAAAAATTAATCCTTTAACGAACCACTTATTGTTTTAGTATGGGAGGCCATGGAGCACTTATCACCGCCTTAAAAAACCCAGGATTTTACAAATCCGTGTCCGTATTTAGCCCCATAGCGAATCCTTCATATGGTCCTTGGGGAATTAAGGCCTTTACGGGGTATTTTGGTCCTAAAAGTGAGGAATGGAACAACTGGGATGCCACGGAATTAGTGAAGAAATATAATGGGCCTCCGTTTGAGGTTTTAATTGATCAGGTATAGTTGCAATCATCTGTGATAATTTTTTAACAACATACATTTCCTAGGGCACAGGAGATCATTATTATGACGAGGGTGAAATTCTCTTTGAGAATTTTGTAGAAGCCGCAAAGAAAAACGGTCGGGTCAGTACCATAGTAAAACTGAGAAAGGGGTATGACCACGGATTCTATTACGTTTCCACGTTCATGGGTGAACACATTAAATACCATTTGGACCACTTCACCAAATAAGAGACGAAATTGTCGTTGATCACTTTTGTGACTTTTACCCTCGATTGCAATCAGTCAGATTTAAGCATAAAAATATTCGATGGTAGTGACTTTTATAAAACTAGGTAATAAGATTTTATAAGTGCTGCCATTTATTATCTTCATTACTAAGTTTCACTGGTTTTTTAACTATATTACAGACAAAGGAAAAAAATATAATAAAAATCAAATGTGACGCAGATTTTTCTTTTTATAAGTATTCACCATCTAAACTCTTCATTCATAAATTTGTTTGTTGAACTATATTGTACAGGGTGTAACACTGAATGGGAGAGGTATGTATACCAACACTACCTCTGACATTTAGAAACACATGTAAGTTTATTTTTTTGCTGTGGAAACTGAATTTTCTATAACCTTTTTTTGTAATCCTCATATCCCCTGGAACAGGCTAGTGTAACCTATAGTCCAAGCATTCTGTCATGGCCTAATGTTAAATTTGCAGAAATTATTACATGGACAAAAAAAATATGACCGTATAGAAAATTAAATTTTAAATTGAGTTTCTTGTTCTTTAAACTCGATCCAAAATGGCGAACATGGTTCAAAAAAATCGCAAAGTTGCTAAAACGGTTTTTCTAAAATAACTAAAAAAATAAAGCACGGATTGAAAAATTTTAAATGAGAAAGTTGTAGGTTTTAAAAAGATCTATCGATTGATTTTTTGTAAGTATCGATTGCTTTGTTACTTTTCGAGATATATATCGAAAAAACCGTTAAAAATCTTCTCTTTTCTCTTCTTCTATAACTCGTTTACATTTACGTTCCCATACTTGCTATTTACTGCAAGCATAGCCTGCTGCAAGCCAAAAAAGTACATTTTTGAAAAATTTAAAAATACGCGCCATTAGTCCATGGCTAGAAATTGGCCTCAATGATTTGGGATCGAGGGGGATTATCCCTCTTTATCCTGCCTCATCTCGTGTAGGCCTGGACAGCCTTCTTAGGTGGGCCCCATCCGTCGTCTACCCCGACCGCAAATGCGGCCGGTGTAGGCGCTTTGTGGGACCTCCTTTTGTCCTGGCTGGGCCCCGCCGGCTAGGGCCCTTTCTTCTGGCGCTCTTCTTGTTTCGCCGGCTCGTCTGTGTAAACCCCCGGGGGTGGTGTCATATTTATGTGTGGTATGGTTGGGTAGGGCAGTGCGGCTATGCAGCCTGGGATGCGCTTTGCTAAGGTGGCCTTTAGGCTAGCACGGGAGGGGAGGGGTAAGGAGGGTATGTGTATGTGTGTGTGTGTCGTTGTCTTCGTTTCTTGATCCTGGCTGTCTCTGAAACAGAAAAGGTTAGCGGGCAGGGGGGGAATTTAAAAATATTAATTATTTTTCGATCTTTTTAAAACCTACTACTTTCTCATTTAATTTTTCAATCGGTGCTATATTTTTTCAGTTATTTTAGTAAAACCGTATTTTGCAACTTTGCGATTTTTTTAACCATGTTCGCCATTTTGGATCGAGTGTAAAGAACAAGAAACTCAATTTAAAATTTAATTTCCTATACGGTCATATTTTGTTTGTCCGGGTAATAATTTCTGTAAGCATTTCTCTATAATGCTTGGACTACTAAATCTCGCATGCTAGTATAGGGAGGTATGGCATGTATTGTTGTCAAATCTCATCATGATTCATAGTATCACAGAAATTTAACAATGAAGACACAAACAACACACCATACCGCCACTAACCACTGAAATAAATAACTTTATATACTTGTACTACACAATGCACTTCATTACATACCACACTAAACTAATAATTTACGCAGAAGGTTGCAAAATGAGTAAAATGACAAAAATAAAACAAATGTATTAAAATAAAGATTCGACATAATTATTTGGTCGTTCTGTTGTCCCACCCTGATGTCATGTTACATCAAGTGGATTGATATATTATGTAGTTCACCTGAACTAGGGCAATGTGCTAAAAAAAAAAATTAAATACTTTTTATTAAAAATTTTAAATGATTTTAAAAAATATTTCAGGGTAGCCCGCATAATCCTTATGGGAAATGAGTTTTTTCAGCAAATTTTTTTTAGCTTTGTAAAATGATAATCCTTAACACGTAGAACAAGTCTCCATAGGCCCAAAGCTCCAAGGATATTAGTTTAAGAGCTACAGTCTGTCAATGTTGAATTTTTTTACCCATACACTGTATATCGTAAGCACGGTAGTGATGTTTTTATCGGAGATATACAGGGTGGTCCCGAGGTAATGGGCCAAAATTCACGGGTAGGTTCCCCAAGCAAAAATATTGCGATTTAGCCAAACTTACCTTAGTCCAAAAGTTGGTAGTTAAAGAGATACAGTGTGTTTACATAAATGTAAAATATCATTTTAGTCTTTTTTTTATTTATTTATTCCTTAACAAATGCAAATATCTTCACAAAATTTTGGAGATTAAGAGTAGAGGTATTATTAATTTAGCGGTAAAGTTTCTTAAGTAGGATTTCGACGAAAATCAAATAATCGACGTCTTCCACTTGTCTTATTGCTGTCATTTGTATGCTAATTTCTATTAAGTATTATTCGTATCTAATTAAAATTACATCTTAGCTTACACTTTAAATTGTATACTCGTATACATAAATGTGAGATAGAATGCTTTGTTTTTGGATTTACATGAAATCAGTTGTTTATGGAGAAACTATAAACACTTGAGAAGAACTTTAGCAGCAGGTTTTAAATGCTGCAGAGGGATTTATACTTTAAAGTAAGACAATATTTTAATAAACGCGTTGATAAACGTATTGAAGTTAGAGGTGGACATTTTGAGCAATTATTGTCAAAAAGGCTCATTACAATTTTTAATTCTAAATAAACCCTTGTTTTTGACATTTCTAAATTATTTTATTTATTTCAACTATTAGTATTGTAAGTTTCAAAGCCAAATATCTCGGAAACGGTGCGGGATAGCTACTTTCATAAAGTCTACCTTTTTTGTGTAAAAATAGTTGGAAAATAAAAATTTGATATCAAAGATGAGATGCCTTAAAGTACAAAAAAGTTGTTGTTTCCAGCACATTCAACCTACGGCAGCTGGCGCCCTCTATGAACTATAACCAAAATATGAACAAATTTCAATTCCTTTATCCAAAGAGCCCCAAACCCTAAAATTTTGTGTAGATATTTCCATTTATTAAGAAATAAATGGAAATAAACTAAAATAAGATTTTACATTTAACACCCTGTATCTGTTTAACTATCAACTTTTGGATTAAGGTAAGTTCAGCTAAATCACAATATTTTTGCTTTGGGAATCGCAACGAATTTTGGCCCATTACCTCGGGACCACCCTGTATAGGTATATATATACAGGGTGCTTCGCGGTGACGGCCCATTAGAATTATTTCAGACTACTTCCATTTGAATTTTGAAAATTTGGGATACCGTTTTCAAGCATGCCTTTCTCAACTAAAATAATGGCGTCCACCTACCACTTCCGGTTATACTTGCTTATTTTAAATGAAACACCCTTTATATTATTGCAATTTTGGATTCTACCTCAATTTTTAGGTGGACTTTTACGAAGTTTCCCTATTCCTAAAATTAACCGTTTTCGAGATATTTAATTTTTTTCAAAAAAATGGAGAGAAACAGTGACTAGCTTGAAACCATGTGTATTTTATAGTAAGAAAGATGTAGCAACAATATTTATAGGGGGGATAGCTAGACCTAACTTTCATACTTTCAAAAGTGGCTTAATTGCATACAGGGTACTAGAAATTTAATGCCGAGTTAAATCTTCATAAGTCGTTTTTTTTAAATGGAACACCCTGTATGTTTTTCTATATTCTGATACGCAATTTTATTCTCTTTCGAACGGTATCAGGGTTCTCTATACCTATCTCTTCTAGTTTTTAACTCATCTACTATTTTTTGTGTAATCACCTAAAATTATGTAATTAGCGATTTAATAAATAGATTATTCTCATTCAGCATCCCTTAAAACGTCTTACCAACCACTAAGTTTCATCAAAATCGATACATCTTCAGGCAAGCATTCTATGATGTTGCTGAATGTAATACAAGCCTGTAACTTCTTTATTTTTTGACTCATTTCAAAAACTTTTTTATGAAATGTAGGATAAAAAAAAATTCTATCTAACTGTGATACTGCTGTTTTAATTAATGAAATACACGGCCAACTAGTGCTCATCTGAAGATGTACGAATTTGATGAAAATTTGTGATAAGACATTTTAAGGGATGCTGAATGAGAATACGTAATCTGTTTTTTGGGAAAAAATTGCTAATATAGCAATTCCCATATCAATTGAAGAACTAAGACGTTGACAGTATGTATCAGTTTCGGTCGCTAACGCAACAACTCGGCATTGAAATATTTGAAAAACTTGTTCCCATATTTATTTAACCATACCCATATACCGATCTGGTGGAACTACACGTGGAGGTGGTAAAAATGTATACGCCCAGTTGAAGAATGCGATTGTGGGCAAACGAAAACAATTGTAACACAACTGCATTGGGCTACTGGGAAATAAATCTCAGCTTTTGACAAGTGGTTGACAAATTGCCCAGCAGTGCAGTGCAGCAATGCGGAATTTGGTGTGAAGTGATCTATTCTCATGCGTCCAAGCAAACGTAATACAATATGCAGACGATACTACACTATATATCTCAGGTAACGATTGCAATTCCTTAAGTATTTCAAATCTACAAAATAAAAACCCTAGTAGAAAATTGGTTTCAAGCGAACAAGATAGTATTAAATAAAAGTAAAACTTTAACTTTAAATTTTTCACTTAATGACTGCACAAACACAATGTAGATTATATAAAATTCTTAGGTGTGCATCTTGATCCTCATCTCTCATTTAAAGTACATATAAAAAAAATCAATACCAAACTTGCAAATATAATCTACTTGTTGAGAAGAATATCAGAAACAGCCCAGACGGATGTCATGAGAATGGCTTATATGAGTTTGTTTCAGAGTCAGGTATTGTACTGCATATTGATATGGGGAAATTCGGTAAACTGGATAAGTGTATTTAAACTACAAAAAATGGCAATAAGAGTAATTGCTAAAATATCGACATTTACATCGTGCAGACAATATTTTAAAGAACTTGGATTATTAACCTTCCCTGCACTGTATATTAGGGAGTGCTTGTTATATATAAAGTCTAACAAGCATAAATTTCAAACACATATAAATTATCATTCACATGACACTCGAAACAAAGAAAATCTAATTATACCTCAACATCGTCTACAATTGACACATAATTACTTTATAATACAAGCAGTGAAGATGTATAATATATTACCAGAAAATCTCAAAATAATTCCTCATAGTAAATTCAAATCAAAGATAAACAAAATCTTAATCGAATTATGTCCATACACCTTGCAGGAATATTATGAATACAATTGGAATAATATTAGCTAACCAAAATGCTTGTGATCAGATATAACATATTAAATTGGTTTTAATGTGTTTGTGTTAGTTTTGATAAGATTTTATAGACTGTTAAATTGTATTTTGAAAGTGGTTTTAATTCTTCACTAGGAAATAACAAGTATATTTGTTCATGACTATTTGTATAATTTAGCTAGTAGTAAAAATTTTATTTGACAATGCTTAAGACTTATACTAATGTACCATGGTCTGTTTAGCAAATAAAGCAATATTATTATTATTATTAAGTAGGTAATTTTAATTTTTTATAGGCACCTTCTACTAACCATTTATATTACATTTGCGAAAGGGTGAAATAATATTATTACAACATGACATTTTGGAGACATTTGAAACGGAACAAACCGAAATTGTTTTGAGGACATAAATAATTAAAATATGTTGTTGGCCAGATAAACATACAAGTATAATAGAAATTTTCTACACATTATATACAAATTATTATAATTTTTTACCTTTAGCAGAAAACTTTTTTAGGGACGCCTATAAGTCATTAAATTTTATTGCCAGGCATTTTTTGCATGTTCAACAGACTTCGGAAGGNCATTCTATGATGTTGCTGAATGTAATACAAGCCTGTAACTTCTTTATTTTTTGACTCATTTCAAAAACTTTTTTATGAAATGTAGGATAAAAAAAATTCTATCTAACTGTGATACTGCTGTTTTTTATTAATGAAATACACATTGGTGAAAAGACATTTTAAGGGATGCTGAATGAGAATATGTAATCTGTTTTTTGGGAAAAAATTGCTAATATAGCCTTTTCCATATCAATTGAAGAACTAAGACGTTGACAGTATGTATCAGTTTCGGTCGCTAACGCAGCAACTCGGCATTGAAATATTTGAAAAACTTGTTCCCATATTTATTTGACCATACCCATATACCGATCTGGTGGAACTACACGTGGAGGTGGTAGAAATGTATTCGCCCAGTTGAAGAATGCGATCGTGGGCAAATGAAATCTAACACAACTGCATTGGGCTACTGGGAAATAAATTCAGCTTTTGACAAGTGGTTGACAAATTGCCTAGCAGTGCAGTGCAGCAATGCGGAATTTGGTGTGAAGTAGGTAATTTTAATTTTTTATAGGCACCTTCTAGTAACCATTTATATTACATTTGCGAAAGGGTGAAATAATATTATTACAACATGACATTTTGGAGACATTTGAAATGGAACAAACGGTAATTGTTTTGAGGACATAAATAATTAAAATATGTTATTGGCCAGATAAACATACAAGTATAATAGAAATTTTCTACACATTATATACAAATTATTATAATTTTTTACCTTTAGCAGAAAACTTTTTTAGGGACGCCTATAAAAGTCATTAAATTTTATTGCCAGGCATTTTTTTGCATGTTCAACAGACTTCGGAAGGACTATAGCAATTAGCTGTTTTGCCGTCAAAAAAAACGCGTCCTAGTTGGCCGTGTATTGGTTTCATGAAAACAGCAGCATTACAATTAGATAGTTTTTTCATCCTACATTTAGTGCAGTTACTCAGGGTTTTTACCTCTGAATTCTTTATAACTGAACCGATTGACGTGAAATTTTTACTGAATGTGGGAAATGCCTCAAGGAACAAAACTTATATAGTGCCAAAGTGTGCTTTTGCCCTGGGGGTGGTTCCCACCCTTTCTTGGGGGCTGGAAATTTTTACGCCCAAAGTAACCCAGGAATCGATAGAGGAGTCAATTTTAAGTAACAAATGTTATATAAAGTTTTTTGGATAATCCAATACTTTCCGAGTAATTCGTCATTGATAATGTTGATTTTTTACTGAAAACGTGCTTGTTTTCGGAAAGTTTTTTGCAAATATGAAACCATTGGATTTAACGAAAAAGTTGTAATGAACAAAAAAGAAAGGTAATAGAAAAACAAATCTAATGGCATTATTTTGTTTTTCTTTAATTGCAATATAAACCGACTTATGGATTTTTAAACATTATTATATGTTATAGCTAAAAACTAAATTGGAACCGGTTAACGTTAAATAACGCCAAAACCATAAATATTAGGAAAAAAACTGTTTGAACCTTTTTTAAAGTACTTTGAAAAACCTTTAAAATGAGCTATTTTAAAACTCTTTAGAATCAAAATTAACGGAAATATGATCGAAATAACATGATAGTCTCATTTTTTTAAAGAAAAAATTACTAAACAAATCAGTGCCTTTGGTGACAGAATTAAAATTAAATGCAATCCATTTACAGATTTCTTCATTTATGTTCTAAGAATATGTTCTGGGTCTTTGGCTGACTTACAAAGCATGATTTCGAAAAAAAAACTTAATTTTTGAATATGTTAATTATTCAAATTTTAAAAAAAAATCGATTTTTACGTTGTAACTTAAAAATTAAAGGGTGTACGAAAAAATACAAGAGTAAAAAAATTTAGCTTTATTTTTGCTGATGATTTTGCTTATTTTTATTATTCCTCTAAAATTAATATTAATCGAGATATCGCCATTTTAAGTTATCATATGAATGAGAGAACCACCCTCTTCGAGCCCTTTAAACCCTTCAAACTTAAAAATGAAGGGCTTAAAAAAGATCAACTCAACAATTCACGTAGCCCTTACAATTCCCTGCAAAATGAGCCTTTGTGCGATTAAAAATCTTATAGGTGATAATTTTAAGAAAATACATATAAATATATAAATAAATGTAAGGGGTAATTTTTAAGGGTTGAAAAGTTGCAATCAATTCAAAATTATTTTATAAGAAGGGAATAAATGTTTATTTAATACGAATGCACATTTAAAATGTTTCTACTCTTTCAATAATATTTTTTCATTTTATTTTCGAAAGAAGGGGTATTTTTCAAGGGTTGAAAAGTTGCAATCGATAAAAAAGATTTTTTAATCAAGATATCAATTTTAATTTGATAAAAATGCGATTAAAACTTTTCAAGTTGAAAAAAAAATTATATTATTTTCATCCAAAGGGGTGACTTTTAAAGGTTTTTCCGGGTTGAAAATTTGGGATACATTAAGTTTCATGTTAGATAGCACATGAAATTACTCATACTGCATAAATAAAAAAGATTTGATTACATAAAACGCTTAAATTTTTTTTTTTCTTTTTTTTCCAATAAGGGGTGGTTTTCACACCTAGCGCATATATAAGTTTTGAAGTGGGGGGTAAGACGAGCCTTATTCTAAATTTTGAAAAAAATCGATGCAGTTATAAAAAATTTGAAGGTATTGCTATATTTTCAGCTACAGTAACTGGGCTAATTCTAAAAAAAAATTTTTTTAATCGGTCAAAAGATAAAGAAGCTGCAGACTTGTATCACATTTAAACGCGACACCCTGTGTATACATATATGTACTCATATATCTCCGACAAAAACATCACTACCGTGCTTACAATATACAGCGTGTGGGTAAAAAAGTTTGACTTTGACAGACTGTAGCTCTTAAACTAAAACTCTTGGAGTATCACTTTATCGTTTCAAAAACATTTGCCGAAAGCCATTTTCCATAAGGATACGTCAGGTAAGTTTTATTCATTTTTGTGTGTGTGTACATTTTAAAAAATAGCAAAAGTAATAGCACAAATTATTTCTACGGGCAAGAGGTCTGGACTACTAGAGGGCCATTCCATAACAGGAACATTATGTTTCTGTAACCAATATTTTTCTTTAATAAAATAGTTTTTAGAGTGTTAGTACTTTTATTTAATATATTAGTTGTAAAATTATGCCTGGCCGAACTGTCATGAGCCTGGGTTTGTACTTACAATCGGTAACATATGTCTGTCCATGTACCAATATTAGTTAATATTTAACACACCCAAATTTTGTTTGTTCTTCACATCATCTCCATCGACATCCAAAAATATGGTGACTTTAAAATTCCATGTCAAAAGCAATTCGTTTTTGCAAAATTATTTTCATTGCACCGGGTTCGGGACGACATGGACAAAAGTTTTTAAGTACAGTTTAGAAAATGAACTATAATTTAACTGTTTGATTTAAACAATTATATATATATCAGGCTAGTATTCTGGGGAATGGGTACTAGTAGCCCTCAAAACCCTGTATATCAACAAGGTAAATAAAATGAATAAAAATCAAATCCATGTTGGGTTTTTTTTTATAATATAAATATTTTTTATAATGTGTATGTACATATTTAATTATATTAAATAGAAATTAATACATCACTTTATGGACCCCCTTATCTCGTGCCAATAATGCAGTACAGGTTCCCGTTTCTGCCATATATACTGGTTTCCCCACAACGTCCAAAATCTGAAAGAAAACAATGTCAGATGCTTCCCCATGCATGCATCTAACTTCCAGTTTAACCCCCTTGGTTATAGCTCGAGAACCAGCAACCGTTTTGAGTTAGTCATTTGGCAAATGCTGAAAATTTTTCCTACGCTTCATTTGGTATCACTAGTAAAGTAAGTAAATCGATCTCCAGCTCGCGCACTTCTGAGGGGTATAGTTGCGGCAGCCTTCCAAACACGTAATAGTATATTACGTAATAAGTGTTGTAAAAAGCATTTTACGCACGAATGGAAAAGTTACGCACGACGCCGCGTAGCGGCGAGTGCGTAATTCTATGAGTGCGTAATTGCATTACACCACATATTACGTACTATACTTTACCTACGACCACTACTTTAAATACTTAAAAACACACCGTCTGCGATCAATGCAAAATTCCTATTACGTCGTACGGTAAAAAAAACGCACAGCTTGGTAAAAAAATTGTACAGTTTTCCTAGCAACCGCCTAGCAACGGTCAATACAAACAGTATTGTATTGGCC